GAAAAATAAAATTTCTTTTTCTTCCTTCCATATTTTGAGGAGGAGAGTCAATATATTTTTTTTTTATCTTTATAGAAAATTGCTTTCATTTCATTTGCTCTGAGCTTATGGCCATATTGCATTGGTTCTCATATGATTACTGAAATTAAGCAAGGATTGATGGTTGACTGCCTGGGAATACCAGATGCTGTAAGCTTGCATGTGTAAGTGGCATAATGGATAATGGCACAGAATTGTTAATTAGTGAGAGCTGAGTTCCAATTCCTGTTGGGTTCATTATATTCATTTACACACTTGGGAAATGTATGAATCCGCTTTCTCCAATTATGAGTTAATTAGTAGGACTTCCATCATTAAATCATTGTTATCAAAAAAAAAAAAAAAAAAAACTTACATGTAAAAATATTTTCTGGCTTTAAATAATCTGCAAACGGTTAAGCTGTAAAAAAAAAAACAACCTAAAAGCAATCATTTACTTTTTTGTCAACTTAAAGACTAATCAATTTCATTGGATATTGCAAAGTAATTAGGCCTCATACTTCTGTGTTTACTTTTTAACATTAAACAATTGTTAAAATAAAAACTTTGCATCAACACAACTTATTTTACTTAGTTTTAATCAAATATTTAAAAATTATTTTCCAATCTTAATTTTTTTTTCTGTTTTGTGACATAAAAAAGAATTTACCTGTTTATATTAGAAATCCTATGTAGCATGAAATATTTTGAGATAGCCTGTCCCCCCACAAAAAGAGAAAAACATTCAATTCTTAGCAATTTTCAAAATTGTGTAACAATATTATATACTAGCAATACCTGTGAAAATTTCATAGTTTTCCTATTTTAATTTTCTGATGAATCTTAATTCAATGATTGAATTAGCTCCTTGCAAGTTCCACAGCCATAGAGTACCCATGGAAATTCTATTGCATTGTTAAATATTTGAGCTTAACAACTTTAAGAAAATATTGCAATAACAATCATAAGTATGAATGAAGGTCATTATTTAAAGAAGAAAGAGGGTAAAAATTAAAAGGGTATAAACTGACAAAGTTTTTCATTTCACTGTAGCAGACTTTAAACACATCAGAACGTTATCCTTTGTCTTCTCTTTCTCTTCTTCCATTCCTTAAAACCAAACATTGACATTTTTCTTTTGGTTATACTTACAATCAAACAAAAAAATGGCTGATTGTTTATCTGAGTTAATGGCAGGGCATAACATGTGCCAACTGATAAAAGGACAAGCAATAATTCTATTTGAAAAAATATACCTATCTACAGTATATATTTGTTTATATACTAAGCATTGATTAATCTGGCATGTTGCTTACATGAGAATCTTTGTTGGATATTGGTGCAAAACTTGATACATTGGTCATCTAATGAGATATGAACTTCAAACTTGTTGAATATTGTATGATTCTATCATATTGCAAAAGTTTGTTTCCAATTTTCATTGTTAAAATGAAATGACTGAAACTTGATACTAGTGTTTGTTTTGGTGTTGATCTCTGGTGTGTTCTAGATTGAAACCTTTGATTGTTCAGTTGTGAGTCAGACTTTGTTGAATGTTGACATTTTGTCCACAAATATAATGCCTTAAAAATGGAGGATGAAAATTTTCACTTTTGCCATGAATTTCGGAAGCAGTAAGTATCAGAATTGCGACAGAATCTTTCTGAAGGTTTATTTGGATCCTGCTCCAGATCTTTCTGTTGTCAAAATGTGCTTTTTTGGCTGATTTTGATACTGTGATTTTAACTTAAATGATCGACTATGCTCTGGGCGACTTTTCCAAGGTAGATGAAGACACTCCACTAGTCATCGTGGAGAATGAACCAAAGATTTTGACGGAAAAGTTTGAAAATTGATATCTCAATTTTCTTTTAGCATTTGAAGTCACCTTGATTCAAGAAAAACAGACGATTTTGGCAAATCAAAAAGGTGTCATTTTTCACCACAAAAATGCAAGACAACATGTTACAAAACAGACACTGTAGAAGCTGAAAGATTTGAAATGGGCCAGCACCCACGGTATTCCGTTGACTTGGCTCCTTTGGATTTTTATTTTTTCCGTTTTTTTCAAAAGAAATTTAAATGACAAAAAGCTTAACTCTGAACAGACAGTCAAAAACTACCTCGCAACATTCTTCTAACAAAAAAACATGAGGTTTCTGTGAAAATGACATCAACAAACTTGTAGAACAATGGAAGACAATATACTTGACTAATAAATGGAGACAATATACTTGACTAATGTAAAATTTTCTTTTTAATTTTCTAACTGAGCACAAACTTTTAATCTAATAGTAATGTTGAGAATATGATGCTAGACCAAGAAAATTTTGTTTTGGTTTCTACATTTTTTTTTAACGTAATTTGTTGGAATTATTTTTTTATTTAATGTTGTTGCTCTGATTAAAGAATATCTTTGGTTATTTCTTTGAAAATTTTTGAAGCTGATGTCATTATGAAAGACTTTTTAACTTGTAGAAATGCACATCCATTGCTGCAGTCAGAATGCTGTTTTATACAATTGTAATTTGTTGCATTAATTTGTCTTTAGGTTAGATTTAATCATTTTTATAAAATTTTAATCATTTGAGAGACGAACCTTTTTACCTTCCATCTTCATGGCTGATGCTAACCTCCTTCATGGCTGATGCTAACCCCCAGGGAAGTAACTCATTGTGCCTTAGCAGACTAATTTTTTCTGTTGACATGAAGTGGAAGAGAACATTGAAGTCTGAAGCTAAGAACGTTGATTCACTATATCGTACTAGACAATTTTTCTTGCCAGAATCTATCTTACATATTTATAAGTCTACCATTTGTTCTTGCTTAGAATATTGTTGCCACATCTCGTCTGGTGCTACTGCTATATATTTAGAGATTCTTGATGAAATACAAAGAAGAATCTACAATGTTATTGTTCCTGACCTGGCATCTCAGCTTCAGTCCTTTTCCTACTGCTGTAATGTGGCTTCCCTGTGCTTTTTCTATAAATACATTCATGGTAAGTATTTGGATGAATACTATGGTACCTAGACTTCATGAATTTAAGTGCAGTACTAGATTGTCAATAAGGTCTCATTAATTTACATTTTGAAATTGCTAGATGCATAAGTTCTACGCTAACAGTTTTTTCTATCTCACTTCTTACCTGTGGAACTCATTTCTTGCTTCTGAGTCAACTTTTCTCATTCAGTAACCCCTTGTGTCCTAGTGGCTTTATTGCCTTTCATCTTCAAAAATTTAAATGCAATGTCAATCGTTATCTTCTGTCTTCTTAATTCTTGTTCTTTTATTGTCCTCTCTCCTTAATAGTTTTTCTCATATTCTCTAACACTTGTTGCGGACCCGGTAGGGTGCAGTGCTGGTTTATTACTAAGTGGCCTTGTGCCAGACACCACACTAAACTACCGAGTCTACAAGCAAAGTAAAAAGATAAATATCGTGAATGAACAATGAGAGGAAAGGGGTCAATCAACAAGTGCATAAAATAAAATATATTAAGATAGCGAAATAAAAAATGACAAAGACATCTGTTTATAAAACATGAGTAAACAAAACTTTAATTAAACAGTAACAAGTAACTTAGCTCAAGGTTCAATGAAAATGTTCCATGCCAAAATAGAAATACAAGATGGCCAAAAAAAAAGATAGTTTTATACAGTTCCGGAAAAAGAATGTGCGCACAGATAGAAAGGAGTACTCACTGTGGATATTTTAAGTTGTAAGTGATTATGCATATTTTAATGTACAGGTTCAAAGTTATAAAGAATGATTTACGGTGAGCCCAAAGAGAAAGACAAAAAATGTTTTTGTTCAAAGGTAATATTGTATTGGCCGCTGGTAAATGTTCTGGACTGCTGTCTAGCCGGAGAAACGAAGCATGGTCTTGTAGAATGGTTTACAACCAAAAGAGAAAGACGAAAATGTTTCTGTTCAATGGTAATACTATCCCTGCCTGTATTATTTGGTTCGAAGCCAGGGGTTTAAGCAACCTGTTGAACACGGTTACTGCCGACGACAGTGTCGTGTGTCTCCTAAAAACGTCTTCTGGTAGAAAACGGAGAAAAGGTCCTGACCTGTGATTAGCAATTTGTTGGCTCAGTAGGACATCCCTGCCTATACTTTTTAAAAATTTAGTTGAATACGAACTTTTTGTCGCGACAGTGTCGCTGCATCTCTAAAACATCTTCTGGTAGAAAAACGGAGAAAAGGGTCCGACCTGTTGGCAGCTTCAAAAGGAGAAAAGTCTGGTAGAGGGTGCAGTCGACATTGTTGAAATAAGATATTCGGCCCGCATATGGGTTAAGGACACGGAATAAATGAGTTGCCCATCTAGTCGGGTCGAGAACTGGATTGCCAACGTTAGCAGTTTTGAAAACCCTCAAAAGTCTAATTTGCATAAGTAGAAGTAGCAGCTCATCTTGACTGCTGACCAAAAACAGTTACTACTGTATTAGACTAAAAAGAGACAGAAAGGGGTCAAACGTCAAGCGCAACACGCACGAGTGTAAAACAAAGGGGGGGAAATTCATGAAAATATAATGGAATTAAATGTTAATTCCATACACTCAGTAACCCCTTGCGCCCTAGTAGCTTTATTGCCTTGCTTGAGGTGAAATGATTTTAAAAAAAAAACAATGAAAACAAGGCTGAAATTTATCACTGAATAGATATTTCATCATGTCATGAGTTCCATAATCAACCACAGTTATAGAGGCACTACAGGCACTGCATCCAAAGCAGCAGTCGGTGTGTCTAGAGCAAGATAATCTGACAGACTCCATCCTTCTCCAGGCTGTTTTTTTTTTAATTAAGAATTTTCTTCTATGCTGGTTGGTACCTCAAGACAAGAGAGTCCAGCCTGCCCTTCTATTTAGTCCACGACTGGCAAAAGATCCCAGTCTACCCTTCTATTTAGCCCATGACTGGCATGAGAATAGGTGGATGTAACAAAAATTAGATTCGCAATTCCTATTCAGACTTATGGCCATATCACATTGAAACACTGACTCCAGTACGATCACTGAAGTTAAGCAACATCGAGCCTAGTCAGTACCTAGATGGGTGACTGCTTGGGAATACCAGGTGCTGTAAGCTTGGATATGTGAGTGATGTAATGGATAACAGCTTGGAATTGAAAATTAGAGAGCCAAGTTTCAATTCCAGTTGGGAAAGGTATGAATCCACCTCTTTTCTTTCCAATTATGGGTTAATTAGTAGAACTTGTACCTGTATATCCTTATTATCCCTAAAAAATTCTTACAATCTAAAAAGAAATATTTTCTGGCTTTAAATAACCTGCAAAAGCTGTAGAAAACAATCAAATTTCCATTCAGAAGTTGAAAGTTGGAGATCTGATGAACTGAATACAAACATTTGGAGTACCTTCTTTCACCAAGGAAGTGTCTGTTTTATCAGTTCATTGGAATTAAATCTTGTTAAAATTTATTTTCCTCTGAATAGACTTTCTAGAACCAATCCAAAAAGAAGAAACCAAACTTATTTTTGGATATCCTTTTTACTTTGCCTCTTTTTATTTAAAAAAAAAAACAATTACTTTCAGATCTTTGTCTATATTTCTGGGATGGGAAAATTATGGAGAACCACAATTACCAATTTTTAAAAAAGGACATGGCATACAGAAAAAGAATAATTTTTGATTATTTACTGATATGTCCCAGAAAGGGATATATTTGAAGGAAGTAGCTAAGTGGTTTTGGCTACTATAACCAAGTAGAATATGGTAGCAGTAATCGACTGGTAAGCGTTGTAGTCGCAGGTAAGAAGTGTAGATCAATGGCGTAGTCCAATGGGCGTCGTTATAGACTTAGCTCCCAGACTAAGTCTCTTTGACTCTGTCGTACCCACACGTCCGTCGGCATTTATGACGGACACCAGCCAATCATATTCCAGTGGGGGGAAACACAGGTGTATGCATATTCCATTATATCATTTACATTATTTACATTTGGACTATAGTCCTCATTGTTATTGTTATTATACTGTTTCAGTTGTGCACACCAGCCTTCCTCAGGTGTATATCAATCTGGATAACCTTCAGGGAATTTCAAACTGAACCCCTTATTTAATCTACAAGGTTAGAGCGTTTGTCTAGGGACATCTTGTCTAGTTCTTATTTTTAGTACTGCTCATTGATTGCTCTGTTTTCACTGAATCCAAGTACACACTGCCTGACCCAAGGATTCCAAACTGAATCCTTTATTTAATCTACGGGGGTAGACTGATGTTCCACTGGTCATGTCTAGGGATATCTCGTCTAGTTCTTATTTTTAGTACTGATCAGTTATTGCTTACCCTTTTTCCACACAATTGCCTCTTTCAGAATCTCTGGTCACTAATCTGGCACCTCATCTAAGAAACACTTTCCTGCCATCTGAAACAATATGGCTTCCAGGCTGAATATACTACATAATCACCTTTTTCAGTATCTCAAACCATGCACAATGCCACTGAATAGCCAATAGTCAGGGTGCTATTGGCTACAGTGATATTTATGATGAAAAAAATTTAAAGATATAAAATGTCAGTTTATTTTACACAATTAAAGTGAAGGATTATGAGGGATTTATTCAGGATTTGAGAGTAAAAACCAAGCAACTCATTTAACTATCCTTACCAAAAAGCTATTGCATGATCCTCAAGGCCCCTTAGGACATTGGTAAAGTTGTCATGTAACAAGGGAGATAATTGCTTTCTATATCCCTACAGAGGTTTAAATAGATATTCTGTGGCTATAGCTTTTCATAGTAAGAAATCTTATCATTTGAAATATTTGTAGAAAGAGAGAAAGTTCATATATTTATTAAATGTCAATAGTCAATTTACAGGAGAAAAAGAAGTCTAAACCTAGTGATTAGGAGAAGCTAGCCTGTTGTTTCATTTGTTATCAAGTCCTTTGATCTCAGGACATTTTGTTTTCCTCAAGGCCAAAAAACACTGGAAGTTTTCAGGAGATGAGCTTACTTATTTGTGACTGAAAAATACCAAAAATCAAGGATGCTCCACGCATAACATCCATTATAAAAAAAGAAAAAGAAATGAACGTTGGAAAATAAAATAATTTTGGCCAAACAAAACAATAAAAAAATTGACACAAAGAGACTTTTGATGTTAGCCAAAACCAATGTTTGTGCCAGATTCTTGAGCCTGGTAAAAAGCTGACACCTCTGGGCTAGAGGCAGATGGTATGAGAAGAGGATGGACCAAAAGATGCTAATGCTAGAGAAACCAGTGATGCATTGAAACAGTTAAGAGGTTATCTACTAATGATATTTCTGCCCTGCTTAGGACCAAGAAAAACACAGTAGATTGACTATGACCTATTTCTAAGATGACTATGACTACTATCAAGTGCTGACTTCCCAAATTCTCAAATATCAGGCTGAAATGGACTTTTCTCTTGAATGCTATCAATATCCACCTTATTAACAAACTTTTTGCTCTACTGAATACCAAAGGACTCACTCACAATACTAAAAAAAACAAATAAAAATACATTATTTATTTTAAACCCTTGAGTCAGTTCATTTTATTCCAAAGTTTTTAGTAAAGAAAATTCTACCACCTAGCAATAGCATATCCACATATCTTTCAAATATGTTTGGTTGAATAATATTGACAACTTCTGTCTATCAAATTTTATTATTAACTTTTTCAAATTAATTTTTTCATTAAATTAGGTATCTTTTTCTATAGGGGATTGTTTATTGAAGTGTGTATAGAAAAAAAATAAAATAAAATACATATAAAAATTCAGTTTGACTGTTTAAATGACATCACATTGAGTAAATTGAAATTGGTTCCAGCAAACAAAGAAACACTGGAATTATTCAAAAACAGATATATAAACAGACAATCCTTGAATACAAATGTAGCAACATTTGAAAGTACTCAGTGGGGAAAAAAAGACAAAAAATAAAAATTGAACTTTTATAAATTTACCAATTATATAGAACAATTAATTTTGAAAAAATTAATAAAAATTGGATAGACAGAACTTGTCGATATTATTCAACCAAACATGTTTGAAAGAAGTTTGCTGCCAAAATACACCATATATATATATATATATATAATGCATTTATACCAACAGCTTCCCATACTTGACACTTCTTGTTTTCACTCTCGTGTGGTCATGTGTGATGTCATGGGCCACAGTGTGATTTTTGCTTCCAGTGTCTCGTATGCACAAGTTTGTCATTGTTTGGAAATCTTCCATGCAAACAAAACAGACTATCATTGTTGCTATGTTCGTGTATTGTTTAATTTATTGTAATGTAATTGTCATCTTTGACGATGACTTATGTAAGCCGAAAGCTTAGATAGAATTAAAAAACATGTATCAATATGGTGATTTTCTTTCGTCTTTCAATGATAATGTTATTAAGCTTATCAGACAATATGAAAGGAATTTGCTTAAAATAAATAGACAAAACTTGTTTATATTATTTAATGATACATGCATTAATGAAAAAATGTTGCCTAAATACACACTATATATATATATATATATATATATGAGATAATGATATATATTTTTATATAGCAGGAACAGTATGACAAAATTGAAAAAGTTTTCTTGCAATGTATCCATCCTTGAAGACATCATTGGACTAAATTTGTTTCGTTGGTGTGACTACTCATGTATATGAACAAGGGATGCTGAGAATTTATTTTAATGTAGCTGATTTCATTTAGATTCTTTTTCTTTTTGTTTCCATTAGTTTTGTTAGTAGATATCCGACACTGTGATAATAGAAGTTCTGCCAGGAATGGTGAAATGTTGTAAGAACCCAGACACAAATTTTACCTGGATTTGGTAATGGGTAGTTATGTGTTTCTAAAGAACTGTTTAATCCAGTCAAGAATCCACACAAACATGAACTTTATTATTTTTTTCTATACATCGCTCGAGCAGCCCATTTTGAATGATTCATTTTTTCTATTATACCAATTCTTTCAAGTTTATCCAATTCTTTGTTGACTTGTTCCAATGCTGCAAATGGTATGCTTCATTTCAGCTTAAATACTAGCATCAAATTTTTTTTTACTTGAAAACCAGCCTTGAATTTTGAACACAGTTCATTTGACAGGAGAACATTTTTTTTAATTCTTCCTTAAGATTTTCATTCTGACTTTTTAAATTGGTTTCATGTCCACTTACATTTTTACAATAAACATTTATCTGTAAATCTCAAATTTCAAATAGTTTCCTCCAGTCAGTAGCGAATAAATTTGTAGGATTTTTTAATACATAACTTTTAGTTTTTACATGCTTATTATGGAATGAGATATTACAAGTCATTTCTCAAAAAAAAAAAAAAATTCTCACCAGAACTTGAAATTGTGACTTTGAAAGTCATTTTAATAAAGCCTTTCCAATTTCCTTCGACATGGTTTTGCTGATTATTGAAATATCATTATCAGTGTCCAGTGGCATTTTCATACCCACATTATTTATTTTCACATTCACAAATTTTCTTTAATTTTCAATGACCATTTTTTTTTTCATCGCAATGCTGTGTATGAATTTTGTACTCTGAGAAGTTTTTCTTGAATTGATTTTGCAGTGTGACTGTATATGTGTCTTCCTTTACTACACTTGTAACATTTTGCATTTTTAAATGGATAGTCATTTCCAAGATGTAATTTACCACATCTGAAACAAGAAATTATTCTCCTTTTTGTACAATTGTCCTTTGCTTGTAGCAATGCACATTCTTTTTTCTGAATTTCTTCAGTATCTTGTTTCAGAATTAGAAATGTCTAGCAATCATCCAGTATTTCTTGCAGTGCAATATTACTGTTTTGCTCAATTTTTACTAAAATTTTCGCTTGTATTTCAGCATCTTTTTTTATCTGTTAAACCTTGAATGAAAATTAACCCTCTGAACATATCTGGAGTCATTTTGTTAATTCTAAATTTTCCACATTCTTTATTGACAATACCAGTATACAATACAAAATTCATGCACCTACGAGTATTAAACAGAGATCTCTTGTCACTAAAGACTTTTGTCAGAATGTGTACCGTGTCTTCAAATGCAATTTCATCTGTTTTTTTCAGTAATATGT